GATCAACACTGTCTACCTCTCAGAAGATTTGGTGGAGATGTTCCGGCTGTTGCAGCTCAAAGACGGCGTTGGTGGGCATGGTGGGTTGCGAGCTATGCCGCCCAGTTTTTGCCGCCAGGCTGTCCACAAATGCACCTGCGCTCCCCTCCCCCGCCTGCGCCCCCTACCTTGCCTGCCTTGTTGTGACCTGCATGCCCTACCCTGCCTCCTGGCATTGGCCTGCCTCAACACGCTTGCTCTGCGTCCTCGCAGGCTTCGTGTAGGTTCACAACTTGATGGCAAATCGCCTCGACCCGCGGTACGGCCACCAACCAGCCACCAATACTTGGTTACGGCTTAATGACGAGATGTTGCAGGAGGCTGCACACAATGTGGGCGTGTGGCGGTCATACGTGGCAGAGTTTGTGCGATGTGCCCAGCTGCTGGACACCAGCGACCCCTTTGGCGATTGCTTCATTTGTGCCAGTACGTTCCGCGCCGCGCTGAACGACGGTGAGCAAACAGCGACAGCAATAAACAGCATGGGCCCATCACTTCCACCCTTTACAAGCTTGCACCAACTAGATGGCAGGGCATCCCTGCCTTTGCATTCTTGAGAATACATTCTTGCTGCTCAAAGCCACCCCCTTGCCCACATCCCACCGCACTCCCCGCCCTGCTTCAGGAACCCTTATTGGGCTGTACCGCCTGGCCGTGATGCTTGATGCCTGCCTTAAGCCCTGCCACTTTGCGATGGCCGGCCGCTCGCAGCCACATTGCCCCAGGATTTACACTTTTCTGGCTGCTGTGGCAAGGGGCGTGATCAGCGACTTCGAGTCGGGCAAGCTGAACAGCGAGGCGCAGCAACGCTGGGCAGAGCATTGTGCCGCCAGCGAGGAGAGTGGCGCCTGCAGCAGTAATCTAACATGCAGCCGCCCCTCTGGTAGCGCGCGCGGCGTGGTTGATGTGTCTGGTTTAGCGGGCGCGTTCTGCAACCATTGCGTGGCTGGGCGCGATGCCATGCTGGCAATGCGCACTCCCGAGCAGTGGGAGTACCACATCCGCACTTTCACCAGCGTGTTGCTGCGCCGGCCAGACATCGCGGACGCCTACATCGACATCGGCTGCCGCCTGAAAGCCTGCTAGCGGCGCTGCAGCGCCATGTGGGCGCTGGTGACCTGGCACCTGGGGTTTTGGAGAAGGTGAGAAGGCATGGGCGGACCTTTGGCACTCTGGTGGCCACATTCATGCCTAAGGCCGATGCCTCGTGCCCTATGCAGCTGAATGTGATGGTGCCGTGGATGCATGCATTTGACCATGACGTGCCCTGCCAGCTGCAGTTCAGCGGCTTGTATCAGGTATGAAGCCTTCCCTGCAATCTCGCCCAGCCGCCACCTTCCTCCCACGCACGACTGACCCTCACCACATTGCCCATGCTCTCTCCCTGCTGCTTGCAGGAAGGCGTGGGTCGCCGTGTTGGTGAGCAGTCTGAGCAGGTTTGGTCGCGTGTGAAGCCTTTCTCTCTTGTCGCTCGCTACATGGCGCCCCCCCGCTGGTGGGATGGCTACAACTCGTTTTTCGCACTGCTGGGGCAGCTGGTGCAGCGTGACCTGCTGCAGCTGCTGGAAAAGAAGCTGAAGAACATTGGCAACACCATTAGTGCGTGCATTGCGCTGCATTGTTTGCCTCTCCTGCATTTTGTTCCCTTGTGGTGGCACCAGAAAGCCCCGCCTGTGATGGCTTTCACACACAGCCCGGTGCTGCTTGCGCCCTGCCTGCACCCTGCCTGCAGGTCAGCACGAGAAGGGGATTGAGGACTTGATGGTCGAGGCCTCCGCTGCTGGTGTGGCTGATTTGGAGGCAGCGCTGGCTTCTCTTCAACCCATTCGGCCGGCATCGACTGTTGGCATCAGCACAAAGGTGCGCTTGGTAGGTGATTCATATGATGCTGGCGCTGCTGATGTGGCAAAGCCATGCCACCGTCCATCATCTACAGTGTGGTCCGTTCCGTGCCTGCCACAGGTGCGCTATGTTGAGGCGCTGATGAGATGGAACGCGCACCAGGAGATGCGCAAGCAGAAGATGGGATTGAGCATGGTCCTGCAGGGCCCGATGGCTGTGCATGTACATGCCAAGGCCAGCGACAACAAGAAGGAGGAGCAGTTGCGCAAGGCGGTCGTTGCATGCGAGATGGAGCTTCAGATTGATCCAGGCAAGCTTGCTGGGCCCTGTGCTGTTGGCTGGGCCCTGTGTTGTTGGCTGTGTGTCTGTTTTGTGCTATTGCGAATGTGCTCAGGATTGCCTTCCACCTGCGCCTGCCTATCACATGAGGAACGCCAGATCTTGTAGACGTCTTCGGCCCCGGTGGGGGGAGGGTCATTGCTGCCCTTTGGCCAGCCGCCGGCCTCCCCATGCTTCATTTGAGTGTATATTGGTGTTGTTGTACTTTGCACTTGAGGAAGACAATGAAATATTGGAGTTTCAGGGAGTTGAAAGGCAGGGGCAAGCAAGACGTCTATGGGTGAGGGGTAGCCTCTGTGGGGTGGGGGGCGGCATGGCTTCACATGGCCTCCGACCGGCAGCCACGATACATATTATGCAGAAGACGCATACATGCTATGTGATGCCCATAAATGTCTGATAAAATATGAGCGTTCCATCAGTAGCCTCCTCCTCGCCGCTACCGTCACCCGCCCCCTCGGCGCACTCTGCCTCACCGGCCTCTGCTGTCAATGATGGCTCGCCAGCCGGCTCCCGCATCAGGTCCTTTGCCAGCTCAGTTGTAAACTCGTAGCCTTCCAACAGCAGGTGCATTTCATTGATCACCCGGGTGTAACCCATGATAATCTAGTGAGCCGCTGGCAGTGGGCACAGTGTAGACGGCGCCCTAGTCGGCCGGCAGCTCCTTCCACTCACCCTGCGGCGTATGGTGTGCCAAGCAGGCATCACATGGATTGTCCTTACGCACTCATCACACTGAATGCAACTAAATCATGCACACCACACGATATGCAACCCGAAACACACCAGCTTGAATGCGGCTTCCAACATCGGAAGCGCCGGCTCCATCGTCTTCATGTTGCAGAATACGGTGATGGACACAGATGGAGACCCTGTGCCAAGCAACAACGGGTTCATATCTTGCATGGCCCGCTGTGCAGTCATTGCTGCCTCCGTTGCGCCCGTGCAACCCGCGGCCAACGCCCCCTAGAGGTTGGTTATATGGCCGCAGGCAGCACCCCTGCGACGGCGGCGGCAGCAAGCCGTGGACCGAAACGCCGTGCCGCCGAGTCCCGTGGCTGTGGCCTTCTGGCAGGAAACTACGGCCGCAGCTCGGCAGCACGGGGGCGTCGCAGCGTGCCGCCGCCGCCGCGCTGCCCCCCGGGCACGGCGGCGGTGGCGGCAGCAAGCTTGGGCCCAAACGCCGTGCCGCCGAGTCCCGTGGCTTGCGACCGTAGACCGTGGGCCGGAAACTGCGGCCGCAGCTCAGCGGCACGTGGTTATGTTCAAATCGCCAAGCGTGCAGCAGCGCCGAACCACGCTTCCCGGCCTCGGCGCATGCCTTCAGGCGCCCCCTATCGCTGGGCACACCCCTCCAACACCGAACGTGCGCCCGGGGGGGGGAGGGCGGCATTGTACAATGTGCACATGTGCACTACCTGACAGCTTCGAATTGGATGTGCACCATTCACCCCTTTTTGTAGACTCCTGCACCATTACGTGGTGGAGGCTTCAACGACGGCGGCGTGCCCACCGCTGCACTGCCCACCCCCCACCGCAACAACCCAACCAACCAACAACCGTTCGAGGCAAGGTCTGTGAACAGCCAGCATGAGCGGATCAAACGACATCAAGGAGCAAGGCATTGTTTATGCCAAACAGAGAGTGGTAAGTGATGGGCTTCACATGACTTGTATTGGAAGGCGCAGGCTGTTGCATTGCACATCCAAACGGAAGCCATATGATTCGGTTGACCCCCCCCACACACAAACACCCACACACAGACCGACACTCCTCTCTGCCGGGCGGGAGGGGGGGGGGGGGGGGGTCAACATGCCTTTATATGACGGCTGATTGATTCATTCACGATGCACTGCATTCAAATGCATGAGGAGGCCGTAGATCAGGCTTCCAACGAGAATGCTAGGCCAACTGCGAGCGAAGAGGTGAGGATGTGGC